CCTAGACACTACTGGCCAGGGAAGGGTTTGTCATGGCCCTGGGCCTAGTCTACCATACCATTTTGAAAAAAACATGGTTTTATAAATTCTGACTGTAATCTAATCTATTGCTGAGAAGGAAACAGTTGTCCAGGGTGAGGCAATAGGAAAGAGGATGAAAACGTGACTGCCTGTCATCTAAATACACTGGTACTTTGCCTCCCCTTTGCCATTGCCAAGTTCCTGGAGTTGTTACTTCCACTGGAAAGTGCTTAGATTGCTTTTAATTAGTTTCTTTTTTGATAAAGCCATATTAAGAACCCAAGTCCACTCCCCTGCCCTTGCATCCATTTTATCCTTGTATGGTTTTGAAAGCTGTTACATTGCAGAGCAGCAGCGATGCCACAGGGCTGAATTACAGAAGTCATTTGACGGTGGTTTTAGGTCCTACAGTTTGAAGCCTGTAGATCTGTTAAGGTTTTGCTTTTGTTTTTATATAACTGGAAAAGACAATACAAGAAAGGGGCTTTTCCAGTCTTGTCTGTTTTGATAGCCTCTCCCCATCCTTACCAGAGTACAAAGTTACCTTTATCTTAAAAATGGTGGCGAGGCCTTCAGTTCCCCAGATGACTGTTACGCTGTCATTGTTCTGGTGTTGCATTTTGATCTCCACTGTACTTGTATGGTTACTGGGGAACAGGTTGGGGGGACTGGTGTGGATTTACCTGTAATGACTGATTGGGGGATTTTGTCAGTTTTCTGAAATAAAATTTATTCGGGGAAAAACAACTCACCTTAGTTGTCTGTGTGAGTCTTGTCCGCTCTGTGCACATTGTTACTGATTGCTGTTTCCTGCAAGCTGACCTATTGCAGGAAGCAGCAAATACCCAGACTCTCCACAAGCCTTTGGGTTTCCCAAGTGAAAGTTTATTGGTAAAGATTGGTAAATTGGAGAATTACAGACTCTGTAAAGATACTGTCTGCAGAGGCTTCTCTACAGAGCAGGACCAGCACAGCAAGCGGGTTGTCTGTAATAGGGATTTGTTTCCTTTCTTCCTGCCCCCTTCCTAATTAATATTCCTCTGTGTGGGGGAATCTTGAAGCTGATAGTGAAACACGGCTGGTGCTCTTAAGCATGAGAATTCAGTTTTTCACTGCTGGCTCCCAAGCAAAATCTGGTTCATTAAGACAAATGGAATTACTTTCAGTTTTGTGCTTTAGAGGAGATTTTAAATTGTCACAGAGCTGAGTTGGTCCTATGTGAGCGTCAGAAGCTTACTGAAGAGTGGTTAGGTGTTTACTGAACTGCTGTTAGATTTCCTTTGCTGAGCCTGTTAGCCTTTTGTCACGTGGTGGCCAAGTGAGATACATACCCCAGTCCTGTTACATGGTATAAGTGCTACATTACTAAACAGTATTATTGGGGAGAATTTTGAGATGGGAAATTCCCAGATCTTTGGGTAAGGATTAGCCTCTGCAAATTCTTGCCCAGATGAATATTTGAGTTTGTGAAATCTTACAGCTGTTCTCATGCAGTAGGTTGGCAGTGGGTCTGGGCTGTTTCAGAGTACTGTGGATGCAGAACTGGTGTCTCATTCCATTTTACTTCTGGGAAGTGGGCTAAAGTTGAGCTGTTGCAGATACTTGGGTCTGAGCCCATCTTTGTGTGTGACAGATGCATCGCTGGTAAATTTATAAGTGCCTGTAGCAAACTGCATCAGATGTTTCCAGCCTCTTCCACCCACTTGTCAATGTGACTAATGAGCTAATTATCACACAACACTGTGCGTGAGTATTCCTAAGTAAGGTATATCTCTGCATATTCTCCCTCCTGCTATGCCAACGTAGGCTGCACCCTGAGCAAAGTGCCTGCTGCAGCTGCTCTGAGTATGTACGTGTGAGGGGATGAGTGTTTTACACACTGCTCATTTCTTACAAGCTGCTCAGATATGTGAGAAATAACCCAAGTGTATAACGTCTATTGTCTCCTAGCTGGCAAATCACGGACTTCTTGGAAACTCATTGATGAGATCACCGGGGGGATTCCTGCCTCTGCATTTCACGGGGTCCTACAGCAGAGCTTTGGTGAAGCTCCTCTTCACCCTGTCAGTCCATGTGATGTATTTCTGTCTTTCTCATGTATTTGGTTGTGTGCCTCTGCTGTACTTTCAGATGCTGTAGATGGCTTTGCCCTTAGTGAACAAAGTCTGTGGGAAATGAACTTCCGATACGTTCAAAGTGGCTTGTTGCAAAGGAGAGAGCACAAACTTGAGATGGATGCATCTTTCATAGGAGAAAAAAGGTTGGGTCTGATGAAGACTGCAAAAGTTCAGGGTTGGTAGTTTTGTCTGCTGTCTCTGCTCCACCTGAGAAATTTGTCAGACTTGTTATTGTTCTGTTCTTCCTGCCCCAAAACCACTGCTGGTGGTGGTGTGGTGGCTCTGCCAGGCCTGCTTTTCACTAAGGATGATGGAAGGAGCAGAGGAATTAGAAAAACTGCCTTCTGGCATTTCTTGAACCTTTTTGTAAACCTGAAACAGGTGAGACCAAGCTTTTGCTGCAGCACTAAAATACTTGTATTTGCTCAGCAGTGCTTGCAGGAATCGTGTTTTGCTTTGCACTTTAAGTCTTTTGCATTGGCAGGGGTTGGGAATTGCTCTGTTTCAGAAGTGACTTAAACTTTCTGCAAAATGGAAATGACTGATAGCTCCTTCTGTTGCCAGAGGTCCATGTGGGCCTTATCACCTTAAACTCAATGCATTAGCTTCTGCACTTCCAGCTTGCTGACACAGCCTCCCAGTAGACCTGTGGTCTCCAGTTGTCTGTCCCAGTGATCTTTGCTATGAGGTTCATTTATTTAGCTCATGTTTGGAGAAAGCTGCTGTGTCCTGAAGGACCCGTCTGACTTGTTATATCTCCATTTTTGCAATAAAATGTACATGTTGAATAACTTCCTCTGAGGACACGTTACTCAAAAAAGGCAACAACAGAACCATGTTCACATCACTCAGTCTCACTTCTGCCGTTTCTTGTCTCTTCATTTCCTTTCGTAGCTGGTATTTCTGAGATGCCTTTTTCCTGAGCTTTTAAATCAGTTGCATTGTGTGCACCAGGAGGTTCTGTTGGAATTGTGATGAAATAAACTTGGGCTTTCTTGGTTTTGAGGGGGATGCTGTTCCTACAGCTGCCACCCAGCTGAGGCAGGCAGAGAGGGGAATGCATGATCGTGTTTTCCAGCTGTATCCCATTGCAGCTCTGGTCTGATCTGCAGGAGAACTTTACCCTCTAGAGTTTTCTCACTGCTGCTCACTCTTTTATATCCCTCTGAATATACTTTGTTTGGACAGTCTTCCCCCAGGTGTAAGGTATTTGCTATACATATGTAACTGGAATCTCATAGTGTTGTCTTCTTAATTATAATTAACCATGTAGATGCCATGTATTTTTTTCCTTCTCAGTCTGGGTTTCTCACTTCTTGTATTACTGACATAATGTACTGTCATGACTCTGAAAACCACGAATGAAATCTTTCAACTGAGGCTGACACTTGCTATGATTTGGTTTAAATGACTGTTCCTACCTTTACCCAAGTTCATCCTTCAGTAATGATTTTGCAAGAGGCAGAATGGCCTCTTGCCTCTAGGGAGTATGATTTCTTTAAATGTGTATCACAGAAGCACAGACTGTTAGGAGCTTCGGAGGGACCTCGAGAGATCATCTAGTCCAACCCCACTGCCAGAGCAGGATCAGCTAGAGTAGGTCACACAGTAATGAATAAAAAAATTCAAATTCAGTGTCAAATCAGGTGTATATTCTTCAGTCATATTCCAATAAACCTGAGGGGGCAGCAGCTTAGGGGCATCTTGCTGTGAGAATTACTGCCCTGCTTTTTAAAACGTAGTGAAGGCAACACTGAGGGCTGGCTAAATGTGATTGTAGCTACTCCTGTGATAATTTTATGGAAGAATTTATATGATACTGTAGATAATAGTGGGCAAGAAAACTCTGCTTTTCAAGTGGGAAAAATGAAGACTGACTTTTTCTGTAAGTCTTCTTGTTTTCTACAACTATTCCATATTCCTTAATCCCTTTTGCTAACTGGTTTTGTGGTTTTCTTGCATCATTATTATTTGTTAGCTGACATTTTGCCAGGTACTCCCCTTGCAGTGGAGGGAGTGAATGATCCTTAGCAGAACATATCTGACCTTTTTCATGTGTTTCTGCAAATTCCTTTATGCAAAAACATTATGCTTAGTAGCACAGACTTTATGCTGCCTTTGCTACTTGGAAGGACAACATCTTTGTATGGGATTAGTTACGATGGACAGCAAATAAACTTTGATGGATAAGTTGCTCACTTGTAAAACAGGTGTGTATAGTGATGAACAGCTCTTTAACCCTCATCACGTTGCAAGGAGCCCCGTTTGTTGTTTCATGCCCAGAGCCAAAAAGCATCTCCCCAAGGTAGGGGATAAGAGCTAACCAGGCTTTATCATATCTGGTCTTTTGTGCTTCAGCTCCTGACATCTCTGGTAAGTGTAGGATCACCTGTCCTGGCATGAACATCCCCCATTGTTCAACTCCACTCTTCCATCTGTGGCTGTGACTGGGTTCTTTGAAAACAAAATATTGACATGATGATGGTGTACATTATCTATGAAGGAAATAAATCACTTGCCTAAGATTAAGGTTGCTAATACTTCCTTCTGGCAGGGAAGTTATTGCAGCTCCAGAGCCAAAATGCTATTTATGAAGACTTCTGTTCATTTCATTTTCGTTAGAAAGGTCATGAGCTGTAACACGGTCAGGGCTGCTGTTCTGTCAGGTGTGTATCCCGGCAGGTGCCCTCCCCTCCCCGGCAGGCCCCGGGGCCCGGGATACAGATGCGGTGTTGATCGCCGTGTTCTCCCCTGTAGCAATCGGTTTTGGATAACGTGTGTTGTGACAGCTGAGCAAAAAGGGACGTTACCAACTGTAAGATAATGACATGTTTCATATAAATCAGGTGTTTCAGACGGTTTCCTACGGAGAATCACCTTGAAAATAACTTCCCTGCCAAGAG